GACCATTGTGTTGGGCGCATGTGTGCCAAATCTTGGGTCTTGAAACGGTTTCAAACCCCCGCAATCAACCAATCGTCAAAGTGGTTGTTAATACCCCCCTGGCCGTTTACCCTCAAGACTTAAACTTCAACTTGGGCAAACGGAAACAGTTGTGCCTCGTCACTAACGACGATTTTTTTTTTTTTATGGACAGATAAATGATGATGTTAGCTATTCGATACCTAAATGCCCTCGTAGTTGGTTGTTGTCCACGAACGAGCTTTTGGCGCGGGAGGTGGCTTAGGTGGTTGTTAATACCCGCCGCTACTCATGTTGTTTTCTTTTTCGGAGTTGTTTGTACCATAGTTTCCCCGCGGCGTCGTATGTGCCGGGTTTTGAGACCACGGGCTCCCCATCTTTGTGNTGTACGGAGCAGCCGGCATTCGGATCCCTGCCGTGGTACCTCATATATAGCCCTCCTCCGATATGACTTGAGGCAAGGCGGGAAGGCTGTATCGAGTTTCGTGCAAAGCCGCTCACCCATTTCGACCTCGCAGCTGACACCACCTTTTGTCCTGCTGCTGCGTATCAACTCCCAGGTGTGTATTTGGATACAACGCGTGTGTACCTTTCGTCGTGTACCAGTTAAGATCCACTACAATCGACTACTACTCGTTGCTGCTGCTACTGCCCTTCATGAAGGATGCTCTACAACATGGCTGAGACACGCTGCAAACGGTCTCGACAACACTCTTCGACACACACCGTTCGAAGAAAAACAGGGAAGTTCTACCACATTGACTGCAACTCTACTGCTGTGCTGACCGCCGCCTGTTCATTTGCCACGATGACACGTGACACTCAAGGAAGACTAAACTCCATTTTTGCTGTAAATCAGTATCACTCCTAACCTACTATCCTATGTATCCCCCTCCCCTTCAACGCGTTTCACCTACTACACGAAGAACAACATAACATTGCAAGGTTAGGTTCTGTAGGGTACCCACAGATCTATACCGGGGGTAANACGATGACACGTTACACACAAGGAAGACTAAACTCCATTTTTGCTGTAAATCAGTATCACTCCTAACCTACTATCCTATGTATCCCCCTCCCCTTCAACGCGTTTCACCTACTACACGAATAACAACATGACATTGTAGTCTAGATTTCAAATGAGCGGGAAACAGCCACACAAATCTCCAGCACAACTCCAACTGTTGAAATTCAAAAAATCTCAAAAAAAAAATTGTGGTGCGTGTAGACATGTACAACAGTCCTACAGCTGTACATACTGTAGTCTATCTTCAAGTCGCCTACAACAGCAGCGAAGTACTTTCCAAAAACAGCAAGTTGTCAAACGACACTGCGCCATGTTCCCTGTGAAGGCCACATTCCACATAAAATTGAGAATGTATNCGTCAGTCCAACTTGAAGCGTACGTACCCTCAAAAAACACCACACAACACACAGAGCAAGACCCTCCCTCAGCAGAGAAACAGAACACATCTGGTCGACGTGGTGAACAACACCGCGAACGACATTGGCGTGTAGACTGACTGTCGGGGGGGGGGGGGTTCAGGAGAGACCCCTCTTTGCTTCTCGCTACTGCTGTTGTGTTGGGAAAAAGTCGGATGGGAACGGAGTTTGCCCCTTGCCTGCTGGCGAGGAGTAGTCGTGGGGGCGCACCACGAAATCCTTTGCACTCAGGTTTTCAGTCTTGATCTTTTTTTCGTCGTGCAGGTTTTTCCCCCTCTGGGAAGTGGAGAGGGTAGAGGAAAACGTAACATAGTCTAAACGTGAAATGCTTTTTGTTTATGTTTATGTTTTTTTTTTAGCAGTAGTCCTCCGCTGTCACCTGGGAAGTTGAGGACTGGGATATAGGGGCCGTACGCAAGCACGCTTCATGTTTTCAAGTCTTGGTTTAGTACCTTGAAACCGAGTCGAACGAAGGCAAACAGCAGTGTGCAAATACAGAGACTCGCGCGGGTACCGAGGGTAATGGCCGTCTGTAGTTACCCTACAGAGCCTACCCTGTGAGTTCTGTGACGGTTGCACCACAGTACCCTACACTTCTGTGAGTTCTGTAGCACATCCCGTACCCTACAGAGATTACCCTCCGGTTCTGTAACAGATCCAATACCCCACAGACATTACCCGTACCCTACAGAACCGAACCTTGGACATTGTAGTCTAGATTTCAAAATGAGCGGGAAACAGCCACACAAATCTCCGGTACAACTCCAACTAAAAAAAAAACTTTGTTGAAAAAATTCAAAAAATCTCAAAAAAAAATTGTGGTGCGTGTACATGTATGTGCAACAGCAGTCCTACAGCTGTACATACTGCAGTTGTAGTCTATCTTCAAGTCGCCTACAACAGCAGCGAAGTACTTTCTAAAAACAGCAAGTTGTCAAACGACACTGCGCCATGTTCCCTGTGAAGGCCACATTCCACATAAAATTGAGAATGTATCCGCCTGTACAGGTGCTTTGGTCTTAGCTCCAACTGGCATTACTGATAACTCAGTGTTAGACATACACTAACTCAAAATAAGCCAAGTCTCCAGTTGGTTTCAATCCACTGACTGAAAATTTACCACATCCCTTTCGACTGAGGTTATATCTCGAACGGGTAGTCCTTCTGTGAGGTTATGTTCACTTTCTGAAAATGTCCATGGACGTTGGTCCACGGGCGCGTCCACCCACATCCTCCGTGGACAGTCCACGGACACGTCCATGGACGTCCACGGATGGATGCCCGTGGACGAGATGTATTGCAATACAGAACGCGCCACCACATGATAACTTAGAGTTAAGAACTTGAGCCTCAAAACAATTCAAAATACTAGAACTGGTCAAAAGAACAGGTGCTCAGTTCCGACGTGGCATTAAGAACAAAATCCCGCCCTCATGGGGTACCCATGCGCATACAAATAAGAACGGAGCTCCAAAACGCGGCGGCTACAAGATAAGAAGTCAGGACGGTTGGTTGAGGGTGACCTAAGCAGCAGTTTGTTTCAGATTCGAGGCGGGGGGGGGCAGAGGACCTCGTGATAAAATGATTGTACGTACTCTCTCATGTTTCGCATTCCTCAGAAGTTAGACCATTGACCACACGTCCTCCAGAGGACGCATGTTTGTGCCCACAGTACCGATCACCGATGGCCAATCATTACTTCCAATATAGTCTACTTCGAAGTACTTTGCCGAAGGTGACTCAATAACATCTTTCCTAGTCTACATATCTCGATACCACTTCCCGCCTTTCAACCCACTTGCTATGCCCCCGTTCAGCTACCGTCTTCTCCTGGCTATTCCATGCCTCAGGCATGTCCCTGTACCTTTCCTTTTACGTGTCCAACTCAGCGATGTACATTTCGCTTCCCTTGTCGCGCAACACGGACGTTTCCCAATGACATGAACCCGGTTTTCGCACTCGGAGCCGCATGCACATACATTTGAACTTGTCGTATTCATTGTCTTCCTTCCCGAATCTTCGTCAACGTTCTCAGAGGCCGTTGTCCCCAGTCCCAATTTCGACCTTCGGCGTTATCCCTGCCATTGGTCCATGTAGGTACCTATTCCTTCTTTCAACATCCGTGCACAGCTAGACCCTCCTAGTCCTTGGATCCTTTTGTTAGATTGTGTTCTCTCTCGGCAAAGGTAGCAGATTTCTTGTTCTCGAACCCCTAGACTATAGACCTACCGTTCGTTTCCAATGAACCCGATACCTACCATTCCTTTCCAATGTCAACCTCATCGATTTTGAACTATTCCATACGTCATCTACAACCTCAATTCACTCCCTGGGTCGTTACTCCTTTTCTTGTTTGTCCTCTTCGCCTCCCGAGCTTCTCTCGGCAACCTCTCCTCTCCCATGGCGTAGACCATACGTGCGGTACTTCTTGCCAATTGGCAACCTTACGTCTCTTCCCGGTCGTAGGAGGGGGATCCGGAGGGGGCGCGTACTCTCTATCTCTATGTTTTGTGTTTTTGATGCCTTAGCGGTTAGCCCATTGACGTCCTCNGACCATACGGTACTTGTTGCCAATGAGCAACCTTACGTCTCTTCCCGGTCGTAGGAGAGGGATCCGGAGGGGGCGCGTACTCTCTATCTCTCTCTATGTTTTGTGTTTTTGATGCCTTAGCGGTTAGCCCATTGACGTCTTCGACAGGACGCAGCCTTGTTCCCACAGGACCGATCACTGATGGCCAATCGTTTGATCCTTTTTGCCAAAAGGAATGTTTTCCCTGGTCGATATATCCTATCAATATCAGTTCCCGCCTTTTCAACCCATTTCCTATGCCGTAGTACAGCTGCCATCTTGTCCTGAATATTCCATGTCTCAAACACGTCTCGTACCTTTTCCTTGTACATTTCCCAGATCACACATATGCGTTTCCCCCTCCTTCTTGTACAACGGACGTTCCGCAACTACATGAACATGGTCCTCGAACTCGGAACCGCATTCGCATGTAGAATTGTCGTCCTTATCGTCTACGTTCCCAGATCGTAGTCTACGTTCTCGAAGGCCAATGTCCCCAGTCCTAAATTTGACTTACAGCTTTTTCCCTACATCCATTGGTCCATGAATAAGGTAACCCTTAAATCCATTCCTTCTTCCAACATTCCGTACACATGCGGACCCTCATTATCCTTGGTTTCTTTGGTTAAGTGATGTTCTTCTCTCTCGACAAAAGCAACAGATATATCCTCCTTGGACCCTCTATACCTTGCCTTTCCAGTGTGTCGCCTTCGTCAATTTCGATTCCCTTCCATGCGTCGCCTACAACATTACCCCACCCCGTAGGTTGGTACACCCAGCCGCCTTGTTTGTCCACTCCGCCTCCTAATCTGTTCTCGGCAACCTCTCCTCTCCCATACCGTACATACATACATGCGATACTGCCGTCTAGGGAGGGAATATACGACTATAGTGTACACTTGCATCAGTAGTGTCTCGTGATGAAATCCTCCCAGAAAGACCTGTGTCCTCTGCATAGGGCAATCGCTTTACATAGAAATGAGAGAGCCCCGTTTATCATAGGTGGATGCCTGTTCCAAATAAGACCTTGGCAAATAAGAACATGTGCTCGGTTGGAAGCAACCAATAAGCGTGGAGCCTCAAGCTCACTATGCGGTTCTTAATGTGCGCGTTCTGTAGTAGTCTTATTGCTGCGTCAACCGAAAAATACATGTATGAAGGCAGGTTGTTGTTGTTGTTGTTTCTCACATTAGCTCTAGTCTATAGTCCACAAAAAATGGGGAGCCCGTGGTCTCAAAACCCGGCACATACGACGCCGCGAGAAAACAAAAAACAAAAATAGGATACAAACCACTCGGAAAAAGAAAACAAAATGATCGAAAGAAAGAAAAGAACAGGTATCGCACCTACTGTTCGAGAAAAGAGCCCTCGGACAC